ACTTTGAATTTTTTCAATGCTAATGAGAAAGGAACAACAGCTGTGGAGAGACATTGGATAATCGAAAAAAATTACAGGGTTAAATTAGCCTATATACTTTAAAGATGTGCTGACCCCAGAATGGAAACCAGGATATGTTTTACATTGTGGAAGAGGTTTTGTTTTTGTTTCCACAGGAGAAGAAAAGCTATGGATAATGGCAATATTGATAAAGGTTCAATTTGAGAAAGAAAGACCTCTTAATTAGAAGAAGTGATAGCTTATCAACCAACGTGACCATACAATTTAAATTAACTTATACAACTAACAAATGCTTGTCATTTGATCAGATATAACTTGCCAAAAGGAAACCTCCCAAAAGTTAGGGTTGGGGAAGGGTTTTGCTTTTGTCTTTCAGGAAAATAAAAACAACCATCTTTAAGAATTTAAAGACCTTTTAACAAATAAGCATCCAAAGAAAAAGTGAGAACTACATGGGAAAAATTACCAAGAGAAGGAATAATCTGACCTAATTTGATCTCTGTAGTCTCCAAAATGATGATGGCATCCCACAATGACAATTCCACACAGACTATAATAATGCCATTAAGCTGACAAACATCACCCAAAGATCAGTTTTGGACTACAAACTGCTCAGGACAATTTTGAGATGGCTAGTTGAGATGATCCAGCCTCACAGAATACTCAAACAAGGACTTGAGACTAGCTTTGCATTTTCCTATTATGCAGAGACTGGACAGCAAATGATACAGCTACCTCTCCCGGGACCTGACAATTAACCTAAAATTTTTATTTTCAGGATCCTCTAAAGGTACTGTCACCCATAGACAGAAGAAGTAATTTTAAGAACATGATGCCCACATTCCCAAGAGGTGGAGTGTGTGGTTTTTAGTCATTCAGTGTGTTATGGATGATTGTCATTGTTTAGGATGGTTGGTTACAAGTTGTTAACTGATAATTGTCAGGAAAAAGAGCTAAAAAAGGAGATTAGATTCAGGGTTTCTGTTAAAAAGAAAAAGAAAGAGAAAAAAGAGGATATAGGTAAGAGGTAGATTATTGAATCTACTTTGAAAAAAGATATAGAAATGATGGATAAAGGGTAGATTATTGAATCTACACTGAAAAGAAAAAAGAGAGAATATGGATATGAAAAGATAAGGTAGATTATTGAATCTGCTTTGAGAAAGCAACTACTAGTTTTAATGTTTTACATTGGATTGGATTTTTGTATATTGTATACAAGTTTTGTATATTGATACAAATTTGAGATTAGTTTTGTTAGAAAATACTGTACACATATTTCCAATCTTGTTCAATGTATTGTACCTATACAGCTCATTTACCAATGTAATGAAAATTGCTAATCCTTGAAAGTTATTATTACCAACTAATTAGGATATAAAGAAATGCAAGTTAGTATTTAGTCACCTATTACAATCAAAAGTGTAGTTATATTAGGTTTGTTTTCAAGGTCAAACAGAAATATATTTTAGATAAACAGGTCATCTTCAAACACTTCAGAGATCTACAGAATATGGCATTGAAGATGTTTTAATAACATAGGTTCTTCTTTATGACTATGAGACATATCTGCTCCTGGCAGAACCAACCTTCTTCAGGGGAGAGGATGGGCATCAAAGAAACTCTATATGGAGTATACTTTCATTCTGGTAAATTTCCCAGTGGGCAAGAAACTTCCCTTGCCTCGTCTGCTGACACGATGTTGTCCAAATAATCAAGCAGGACACAAAAGAAAGGATTGCTGAACCTTCTGAAGACAAGGTAAGAAGGCTTTTTAGAAAATCCTGCTTTACAAATGAGTCTGTCAGATATGCTAAGCCTGTAGGCCAAAGATGGATGCTCCAACATTGCAGAGGAATCCTGGGTGACTGTCTAGGCAGCCAGTTGTTTCTTTCATTTCTCACAATTTTTATAAGTCATTTTATTGCACTTCCTGCTTACTTAGGTAATATTATTTCATTCTCAGGTCTCTGAGGGAATTAAAGATTAGATATAGTTTTCCTTGTAACTCATTGAAGAGGTATAAAGGGTATAAGATTGAAAGACATGAAAAGATGTTTTTGGTTGGTAATGCAAGTAAGGATAAAACATGAATTAGGTACAACACTTTAGACTCACAAAAATAGGATAGACAATGGAGTATTTTCTTGGAATTTGTCAAATGTTTATGGACTGGACACTGTTAATGTAACTTTGGATTGCATATATTTTATATAGTTATTGTACTTACTATATATAGTTTTTCTTATATTAGTTAAAAACTTTTATTATTTTAGACACAAAAAGGGAAATGTGGTGATATATTGAGTACCCTAATAAAGCTTGCCTGAGGATCAGAGCACAGAGCTAGCCACTAGATTAGACATAGAGGCCAGACATGGTGGCACACACCCTTAGTCCTATCACTCAGGAGGCACACATCCATCCTTGAACAGACTTCAAGGCCACACTGGAAACAGAGCCAGGCAGAGGTGGCACAAGCCTTTAATCCCAGTACTTGGAACCAACCCGCCTTTAATTCCAGGAAGTGCCAGCAGGACAGAGAAAGGTATATAAGGCATGAGGAAACAGGATCTACAGCAGTTCAGTTGAGGCCCTTTCAGGTGAGGACTCAGAGGCTTTCAGTCTGAGGATTCATGGAAACAGGATTGGTTGAGGAGCTGGTGATTTGAGGTTGGCTGTGGCTTGCTCTGTTTCTCTGATCTTCCAGGTTTCACCCCAGTTTCTGGTACCAGGATTTTTATTAAAAGACCGTCTAAGATTCGAACAACAGACATCTATTTGAAACACACATGTGACAGAAATTGGTATTTGATTTCATGTTTAAAGTAAAAGCATACTACAAACCCATGGATTTATGGCATTGGTTAATATAGAAGATTTTCATGTCTGATCTGCGCTTCACAATTGCAGTTTTGCATTCACAGGAAACTTCATCCAGGAGCTACCTATAGGGCTGAGTGCCAGAGCTGAGCAGCACATGGCACTGGCAGGTTCTCCAGCAAGGGCTTTGCTTTCCCAGGAGAGTCTGAGAGCAAGATTCAGATCAGCAGAGAACTGACTTCAAACGAATGTTTGGGACACATTTGTCAAAAGATTTTATTATTGAACAATTACATTCTGGTGTATTCAGATTTTTTTTACATTTTAACTTGTGTGTGTGTGTGTGTGTGTGTGTGTGTGTGTGTGTGTGTGTGTGTGTGTGTGTGTATAGACATCTATGTTGCATGGTATATAGAAGTCAGAGTTCAACTGGTTATGCTGGTCAAACTTTCCACTTGGTCTAAGGCTGGGCCTCTTGTCATCTCCGTGGTGTGGGCCAGGCAAGCTGCAGTGGAGAGTCTGGAAATCTCCTCCTTTCCAGCCATAAGAACTCTGGGATAGAAGATGTCCAGTGCCCTGTTGTCTGGTGTTATATGAGTGCTGGATATCTGTACTCAGGACCTTGTTCTGCAGTGAATCCTATATCCACTGAACCTCTCGGCTACTAGAGAGAATGCTATGTTAGCTGTATGAAGATAATATGTCTTTTATTATGAGGAAGCACACAAAACATAAGAAGATGTCTTTGGATATTCTAGCCACACAATGAGTGCTAGTGAGCACATACACATCATTCTGTCCCATAATTGCACATACCTGCATTTGATTATCCCTTAATTGAAATTCTGTCAATCAAGAAAAAACAAAAACCCAGAAAAAACAACAACAACAACAAAAAAAACAAAATAAATCTCTATTTGGACCCTTTCTTTGAACCTCCAAAACAACATTCCTTGTATTTTGTCTCTCTGAGTCTCACTACTGTGTTCCACCCTATCTCAGGCAATCCACATAATACTTGTTTTTCTCTCACTGTGTTATCTTACTTTGCACAGCAACATCATGGTTTGTCTGTGTTCCATTGTTGCAGAAAACAACCAAGGACTGAGACACCCAAGCTGAAGCCAGGAAGCATTTATTCTATGGAAACAATACTCCCACTGGATAACAGTCCAAAACTGAGACCCAAGTTAATTTAAACAAAGTTTTTATGCTCCTTGTGTTCCTGTCTCCCCCTGAATAGCAATCTACAGTGACACATATTTGATTGGCTTATTAAGCTTCCATAATAGAATTTGCTTAACTGCCTCATAAGCAGAAATGTTTGCCCAAGCAACAGAATTTACCACAAGCCATTTAAAGTGCAGACAGGAGGGAGGAGATTGGGTTTCACAAGAGATGTGGGGTGGAGTCTTGAACCTCTAGGGAGCTGACCAGTATGGTGTGACTATTTCTTTTTTTTCAGGGCCCCAAATCACAGCACCCTGTGCTGGAATGGTCTTGCACTTGAACAGTATCCCACACCATGCAAAGGCTGTGTTTTGTCATATGTTCTGATAATTTTAGACAATTGTTTCCATGTCTGAGAATTTTAAATCCTATAAGTGTTAGCATTGCTGGACAAGTCACTGTGTGGTTCTTTGCACATAGTTCAGTTTTGAAAGTGATGTTTGTAATTCCTTTTCTTTTGGATTACATAACTATTTTTGATGAGAAATGCTTTCTTATTTAATTTGTAAAAATGGATATAAGAGAGGAAATTGAAATATTGAAAAGAGTTAGAAGAGGTCACATACTTAAAAGAAGTATGGGCTATCCTAGGCCATGGTGTGTGAGACACCACACAGGACTCCCTTAAAGACTCAATGTTATATATCTATATATATAAATTGATGTGTATTACAATGAGTTAAATGTCATATGGATTATATATATGTATGATATAAGATATATATCTTACCATATCTCAAATAACATATGGTTTAATTTTCTGTTACATGTTTGCTACCACATGGGTTAAAATAAATAATATTAAGAGAAAAAACACAACTTCATATTTTCATGCACACCAAAGCACATAGAGACTATGCCGTGATTGACAGTTCTAATGGCAGCACATTCGCTCTTCTTAAAGGAACTTGTCCATCAATGAATGTTCAAACATTTATCACCCTCTCACACACAGACCTCAACAAGTTACCTATATGTTTTTCAGTGCTCATAAATACAAAAGGACTGATTGTGGCATAGATATGGACCACAAAGAGATGGATACAGTGACATGTGGGATCATTCAGGAACATAGTTCTTGAGCAGGAGATAATGCTGTCCAGGATGGACATCAGCACAAAGAAGCTCACGAGCATCAGGATGGCCCGGGTGGCCCTTTGCTCTGGAGATGCTTTTGGAGAAAGGCTGGTGCTGTGAAGATTCTGGGACTGCTTCTTGTGCCTGCACAGGAGGGTCATCATGTAGCAAGTCGAGAGGACCATAAGACTAATAAGAAAGGCTTCCCTGAGGGCCAGCAGTGTGGAAAATGTGCTTTGCATGAGGTAACTCATGGGTAGAATAGAGCAGGATTGAGTAACATACATATAGTTATTCAAGGTCAAATTGGGTGTGGCAATAATCGATACTAAGAGGTGACTGCTAATGAACATATAGAAGATACTCAGGAAAAGAAGGGCACATGACATGTGATAGGGAGATATACGCTTGAAATTTGCTAAACAGGAGTTTCTGGGACTGAGGATGATAGCCTGGAGGACACTCAACAAGCTGGTGGTACAAAGAGAGAGACCTCTAAAAATTCTGTGCAAGTAGACAAGGAATTTACATGTGCTGTCATTCCATTCCCTCTGAGTAATAAAAATATCTCTAGCTATGAATGCCGTGATCAGTAGCATCAGTAGGTGGATTAGGGCCAAGAGACCAATGGGCAGGTCAGTGGGTTTGGACCTGTACCCAGAAGTGAACTTGAGGATGTGGAAGAGAAGAAGGATGCTGTTGACTGAGATCCCAATGCCAATTTCAGAGAAAAAGGTGTTCCTTAAGTGGGAATTAGTGTGGAGTTCGTGGTTCTTATTCATCTTATGTGGGAACAAACAGTGGCTGAGGAGGAAAGTAGATCAATGACTCATCACAGACTCAACCCCAGGAACCACTGCAGACAGCTCTGCTGCCTCAGGGAAACACGCAGATGTCCACACACACTTATTCCCCTGTAGATCTCAGTTCCACCTCATGTTCCACAGACCATCCTCATGCTAGCACTTGTCCTAGTCTTCAGAGCCAAGGCTGGATCCTGTGTCCCATGGTGGCTGCATCCATGTGAGAGCTTCTTCAACACTAAAAACTGCCTCCATCAGAAATGATGTCTTTTCATATTTCACCTGTTTGGGTTTTACTGGAGCAGTAGCAGCTTCTTACTGGGTTTTCATTCACAACCTCTTGATTTCCAGGTACATTATAAACAGAGTTTTACTATTTAGGGTGAGTTTGAATAAGGATGATTGTGTAAAAGAAGAAATTAGCTCTTTGCAATGAAAGAAGTCCCATGGATGAAGCATGCACTTAATCTATTCAGAGCTATCTCTACTCTTTATTTATTGTGAAACCAAATTTCTTAATACATTTCTATGGCAAATGATGATAATTGTGAAGTATGAATCCAGACATTTCACAGTCCACCCACCATCTGCTGTTTTTTTGAGTGTGATCTTTTGCACTCTAAGGCTGAGTTCCAGTCACCTCCTCTGGAACATATGGATAGTCAGTCATGTGCCTGTGTCAGGGAGACAGTGGGTGTGCAAGAACATGCTTTATACACACAAAACATGACAGTGTTCCAGCACATAATGGTTTCTGTCAGTGTTTCAGCTGCTGATTTTCTCATGCAGAGCGTATGTTTTTGCTCAGGGAGAGTTAAGGTAGCTCACTGTGGCTGTTCAGCTCCATCCCTGCCTGAAACAGAAGAGAAATGATAAATTACACAACAGTAGCACATTGGAGTGGAGTCCTTTCCAGAGACTCTAACGGACAATTCAGTCACTGAGCTCTGCTCTGTAACTGCATCTTCCCTGCTTCTAATCTCATTCCAGAGCCTCCTCCATGAGAAGAGCAAAGTGGGCATATGTCAGCAGGAGCACATTCCACGTCCTTCCTCAGCATGTGAAGTCAGGGGGTAAATGGAACTACAGTTATAGCAGACTCCTGGCTATCCTACCCCATTTTATAAAATTAGTTAAAGGAAAATGGTCCAGCTCAGTCTTTAATAATGGGCTCCAGAGGATTCTAAGGTTCTCTCTAACCTTCATTGAGCTGAGATACTTTTCCAGATTCCAGATATGCCAACTCCAAGTTTATTTTAAGAAATGTGGTGTATATGTTTTTGAATTGTTGCCATTTATTTGTTCAGACAATGACTAATTAAAATACCATAACCAAAACCAACTAGGGAAGAAAGCCTTTATTTCATGTTATAGCTGATAGTCCATTGTCCAGGAAAGATGAGGGAGGAGCTAAGGCAAGTACTGGGAGGCAGGATCTGATGTGCAGGCCATGGAAGAGTGCTCTTTACTGGCTTGTGCCTCATGACTTTCTAAGTCTGTGTTTTCAAGCACTCAGGACAACTAACCCAGGGGATGCACCCACAGCGAGTTGGGCCCTCACACATTGATCATGAACCAAGAAAACGCACCACAAAGCTTGCCCACAGGCCAATCTGGTGAGCCAATCTGGGTTGACTTCCCCTCTTCCCAAATGGCTCTAGCTTGTGTCGACTTGACACACAAACACACCACTGTTACACTATAACTTTTCTCCTCTTGTTGGTCCCAAGATGTCATTCTAATATCAACATCATATTATAAAACAGATCCCAAAATTTTGAAGTTCCACATTCTTTAACATTCCGTAAACATTCCTTAAAACATCCAAAGTCTCTTCTGATATTCAAAGCCTTTCCAAAGTAATCAAGTCTCTAAAATACCAAAGTCTCTCTAAAATAGCCATTGTAAATCTAGAATTCCAAAGTCTCTGTAAAACACCCAGATCCCTTTAAATGTCTGAATTCTTTTAACTATGTACTCCTGTAAAATAAAAAAAAATGATTTAAATGTTTTTGTATCCTAAAAAGGAAGAACCAGGGCACAGTGAAAATCAAGTTCACCAAAGTCCAACCTTGTGAGTCTCAGTGTCAGACTTCTGGGATTCAGTCGTAGTCTTCTGGCTCCTCTGAAGTGCTTGGAAAGCCATCATAGCACACACAGCTGTCTTCTCTGCTCAAACTGGCTTCACTCCACAGCAGCTGCTGTCCTTGGTAGTTGTCCCATGATACTGGCATCTCCAACGGGACTGAACACTCATCAGTAGCCTCTCCTTGCTCCCTGATGGGACGCTAACCCTGCCACATGGTGCCAATCCACCACTCCACTCCATGATCCCTTCAAAACCAATACCACCTAAGAGACTCTTAACACTACCAGCTTTGGCTACCAATGTTAGATGCAGCCTCAGCAATATCTGGACCACAGTGTCTGTGTGCTGAACCAGAGAAAAATGTTTATCAGTGATTTAAATGTTCAAGCAAGGCAACAGTTTCACTTTAGTGGTTTTTAATTCAAAATATGAATGACCCTCATAGGAACTCTCAAACTTCTCTCTGGAACTTCTTAAGTCAAGCCCCTGTCATCTGTACTCTCTCAGCATTATATTTTAAGATCATACAAATAACCCACTAAGATATCAGTATTCTAATGATTTTCCAGCCCAAAGTTTCAAAGTCCTTCCATGATCTTCCTAAAAACACATGGTCATGTCTATTACGACCTAGTACCGATTTCTATCTTTATTAGGATTTCTGTCTACTGCTGTGTGAAAATACCATGACAAGAAGTTAGTTTGGGAGGAGAGGGTTCATTTAACCATGCAGCTTGTAGTTCATCCTCCAGGGCATTTGGGGAATGTAATCGGATGTTTCTGTCCTGCCAACAAGTTCCAAATATCCAAGAGCTGCTATCCAAATAATTGACTCAGAGGCTTAGTATTACTTATAAATGCTCAGCCTTATTACTCACCAAATCTTACACTTAAATTAACCCATCCTTCTTATCGGTGTTTAGTCTCTCATGGCTTTGCTCCTTTACTCAGTACTACATTCTCATCTTACTTCCTCTGCATCTGGCTGGCACCTCTCTGAATCCACCCTCCATTTTCCCATCATTCTTAGTTTGGCTTTCCTGCCTAATTTCCCACCCAGCTACCAGCCAACCAGAATTTTATTAAACCAATTTGAGTGATAAATCTTTACATTGTACAACAGGGTTAAAACACAGGATTTCCCCCTTTTTTGTAATTAAAAAGGAAGGTTTTAACTTTACCATAGTAAGATTATATACAACATAGACATCTATTAAGTAAGAATCACAGTAACACTATCTAATCCATTTGCATTTGGCAAAATTAGAGTAAATACTTAATTATCTATTTTTTCTTGGTGAGTCTAAAGTTTTGTATCTAATTTATCTTTTATTTTAAGTAAAGAAAACTATAATTATGTAGTCTTCAACTCCATCAAAGACCCCAGAAGGATGAAATGTTAACTAATGACAGGACCTTAAGCTTCCTGGACAGTCACCCAAGGTTCTTCTGCAACATTGGGGCATCCAACTCTGGTCTACAGGCCTTACATGTCTGACAGACTTTCCTTATGAAGCAGGGAATTCTGAAGGACTGTCCTATTTTGTCTTGGCAAAGTTCAGCAGTCACCTTTTTTGTGTCCTGCTGGTCCAGTTTGGACAGTAACTGTCAGCAATTGAGACAAGAGTATTTTCTTTGCCCACATGGCTAACTTTTGCCATAAAGAAAACAAACTCCATATGGATTTTCTTCAGTGCCCATCATCATCTTTGAAGTAATTGGACCATATGTGTCTAACTGTCAAGAAAAGTCTAAGCTCTTAAAACATTTTAAATGCCATATTCTGTAGGTCTTTGAAGTGTTTGAAGATTACCTATCTAGAAAACTGAACTAACATGAGTATGGGATTGCGATTACAGATGACTAACTATTAATATGTATTTTTAAATTATACATTACATTTTAAATGAGCTAGCATAAACACAATACCTTAAACAAGAGTAGAAATATACATACAGTATAACAAAATTGACTTAAAATTTTTAATAATAAACTAAAATCCATAACAATGTAAAATATTTTGAGATTAACAGTTGTTTATGGATTAAAGTAGATTCAACCATCTACCCTTTTTCTATCATAATAACATACCCTTATTTCCCATCATTTCTATATCGTATTTCCCCTTTCCTCCTTTAGAAAGAGATTGACTATGACCAATAACAATTTATAACTAGCCCTCTTAAATGAAAACAAACATTCATAAACAATATTTTGGGAATTTGGACATAGTTCACTAGAGTACTCCCTGCTAATTGGGAGTGCTGGTAATCTTATGCTGAGCAAATTTAGAACAATTGTAGTCCTGACTAGGGTATTTTGTGAGGCTGGTCCATCTAAGTCAGGATCTTTGAAGCTGTTTTGGATGCTAGATCATCTGGGTCATTGTTTTTATTGGTGTCTGGTCCCCTTGCTCTGAAAATATATAAACTATTAAAGGAAAACATACATACCTGATTATTCCACAACAGAAGAAAGAACTCAAGACAGGAACCTGGAGGCAGAAACTGATGGAGAGGCCATGGAGTAGCACTGTTTACCAGCTTGTTCCTTATAGCTTGTTCCATCCACCTTCTTATAGTATCTAAGACCACCAGCCCAGTGGTGGCACTGTCCATAGTGAGCTGGGCCCTCCCATTTCAAATCAGTCATCAATCAAGAAAATGTACCAGGTGCTTGTCCACTGGCCAGTCTGGAGGGGTCACTTCCACAACTGCAGGTCTTTGTTCTACAATAATTGTAACTTGTGTCAAGTTGATATAAAACTAGCAAGCACATACACCATGCATATGGGGCATATAATGTTGAAAACAAATTCCTGTTACATAGTAAAATTTATCACTGAAAATTAAAGGTGTAGGTTCAAACCGCATTAAACTTATTTGGACCATGTAATATGTAATGGAAGATAATAAGGAGAGGCAAAA